AAGCATTAACAAATAATGCTGTTAATGAAACACGTTTTAATGATGCTGGATATTATAATTGGTTATTATCAAAAGAATATTTAATAGCATTAAGTGAAACATTAAATGATGATTTACGTTCAGATCTATTTAAACGTTATCATCGTTGTTCATTATTAGCTGATCTTTATTTTGCATATCAATATATATATGAATATACAACAGAACCATTTGTTGATACACCACCTCTTATATTATTTAATATAGCACGTTTTATATATCATAAATTAGCACATTTAGCTGGTGATATACCACCAGCATTATCAAAATTTCGTACATGTTATGCTGCATGTAAAATAGCAAAAATTTTAAATGCTAATAAATTTAGTCGACAAATGATTTATTTAATGCGTGATTTAACATTTACACATAATTTAGGTAATAAACGTATTGAAATTGAACAATTAGCATTAGAAATGGAAGCACGAACATTTAGTGATGATCATGATTTATTACCTTTATGTTATCGTTGTTCACATCATAATGAATTATTAAATGCACGTGGTAATGAATGTTCAAGTTGTGGAAGTCCATTTGTAAGTTAAATATTTTTTTTTTTTGAACATTGTGAAACACAATGTAAAAAGATTAGGGATAGAAATTCACATAGACCGTGACAGAAAGAAGAAAGAGTATAAACTCAAGTGTAAATTTCACAGCGAATCGAAAATTCTCCAATTCTTTTTTTCATATTTGAGTAATTTATAACTCAATGTAAGCGAAATAATGATAATAATTGAGCTATATGTGCACAGAAATATCGAACAGTAGTCTCAATAGGTTGGACCGAGTCTATGGATCAACATCTTTTGGGAACAAAAATTATGAGATGAACTGAGTGTTGATCCAATTTTACGATAAGCCCCCATTAGAGGTGTAAACCAAGCGGCTGAGCCATCGCAACCGAAAGCCAAAAAAATGTTAAAGGTTCTCAGCTGTCGCCGCCGTTGCACAAAAAACATATTCAAACTCCGCATATTTTGAACATTCACAATCAGTTTTCGTGAATGTTCTTACCAAAAAAAAGTCTGCTTTTTGTGATATAGAATTGATTAAAATAAAATGAAATCTATCTTTAAACCTGAAAACTAATTTTTAACTGATTTTAACCTATTTTATCAGCATTGTTTTTGTATAAGTATTGTTTGGTATAGTAGTTCGTAGTATGACATGTGTGTCAAAGAGTTCTAGCATTGTATTTACCATTTGCTGAGCCGACAGGTCTAAGAAACTATTCAAAAACTTGAGTTTCTAAATAAAAATTCGAGAAAACGCATTTTATGGTAACCATGAATTAAAATCGATCAGAAATTGAATAATTTGATTTTAGACTAAAATCGTATTTATTTTCCTTTTTAACTGATTTGTCTAGTTTCATACTAGCCGCTTCTCTATTAACATTTTCTACCTTTTTCATTTCAAAATCTCTCGAAAAACAAAGGATCATGGAAAATCTTCAGTCGCCGTCGCCGATCAACTCATCGACTTACACTACTAGTCCCCATGAATCAAATCTTAAATCACAAAATTCTGTAAAGTTATCACGTATTATCAGTGTAACTAATAAAATGATGAATTACAGTGCGGACTAATTTAAAAGATAAAAAATTAATTAGAAAAAAAACTAGTATTCTACAATATATAGCATGAGTAAAGTGAATTTTATTTGCTTATTACATTTATGTCAACACACGTAGATTCAATGAATTTTGATAGTTCACACCTTATGTTTATGTAGCATCCTACCTATAAATACGATCGAATTAATTGCCAAAGGACAAGAATTTTTTGCTGATGAAACATTTGAAGCTACCCAGTTGGAATTCAAATCATATTGCATTATGTACCATGTCGATTTGCAAGTGAGAATGTCGGCATTATATTTTATTCTTTTTCTTGTTCGATTATCTATCGATATTCATTTATTTCTCATATATGTATATATACATATACATATTATAACTGATCGAAAAATAAACGTATAAAAATGTATCGACAATATTGTAACGGAAAAGACTTATAATCGATGAATATAAGTTGTGAGAAGAGAAATGATGTAAAACGTTCGGACAGCCCCAAAACGTAATGGTTTATTGAATAATAGTAAGAAGAAAAAGTAACAGCAAATGTATTGAATTCACACAACAAACAATACACTCGGGATTCTGTTCGTATACATATAACTTCTGTACGCGAGTTTCAGGTTCGGACTCTATTCCGTTTTCGAGTCCCAATTCAGGACAACTTCTAAGAACGTACGTTTCGATAGTCTCGAATACGTCTTACTTGTACTGGTTACCACTATCAACTACTTCTATCAGAATATCTCAGAGAGAGAGAAATATGGAGAGCGATCCAAGGAGAGAGAAAATATACCAAGAGAAAAGTAAACAAAAAGTAGGGGAGAAAAAAAATCACGTATTACTGAAATGGATAAAAGGAGTGTCGTTCGAGAGCATGTCCGTGTATTCTCTTGGCACAAATATCTCTTTGGTTTGTGACAAGAGTCATGCTCATAATCAAACAAATATGATGCAAGCTTTACGAGCCGGTAAACGTAAATTGGTTGTGAAAATTCTTTATATGTCAATATGCACCTGTACAAAGTATTTATCATCATTGGATAATCCAACTTTGACATTCATTTAAACAACAAATTCGCAATTAACATCTATTAGTTGCAACAAACATATCTTTACTATTATCGCAAATGCCGTATTACATATGGAATTGATGAATATTACGATAGATCCTAACGATTTTTTTTATCATAATCTATATCGTGATGTATATTGTAGAAAACAAACAACACTATCTTTTTTTTTTAATTAACTTTTTATCTTTTAAATTTTATTTATTGTTCAAGTCGAATACATCATAAGATGCAGCTCGTTCCGGACTTTCTTTCTACATATAGTATGTTTAAAAATAAACGGATTAAAGTAGCAAAAACAAAAGGAGAAAATTCAATTGACCCACATTTTATTTTGACCAGCATGATGAATCTATGAATGTGCACTTCCAGCTTACTGATCATTCGAATCACTGTAATTATGCAGCCAACGCCAATACTAGCATAATCAGTATCCCTAGTGAACTCTACGCGGATAACTATCTGTAGAGAACTAGAATAGCCGGTTCATAGACCGACTTTCATAGGATTAGGCCTAGCCTATGAAGAACTTCGATATTTCAACAGAAATATTTATTTCTAGGTTCTCTCACATCTTTCATTTGATGTTCTTCCATTGGTTGAATTTATTCTACCATCAGATATCAATGATGAAGATGCTTTAAATCTTCTTGAACAAGTACCAAATAGTCAATTAGAAAATTCAACACCATCAACTAAATTAACACAATCAACAGTAAATCGTCTTGTTATAACTGAACAAGGAAATACAGCACGTGCTGAAGATAAAGATCCATTTTTAAAAAAAATGAGTAAATATAGTTCAAATCCAGATGAATATCGACCTGTTGTTGTTGATCGTGCTTTACTCAAAGCTATGGATCCATCACTTGTTTTTGTTTGTAAATGGCCATTTCCATTAAGATGGAAATGGTATCGAATTATTGTACCTGAACAACCTGTTGGTCGATGTAGACATTGTAATAAGGTAAATTTTAATTGTTTTGATTTTTGAATGAAAACAAAATATGTTATTTTTTTTGTTTTGTTTTTGAATGTTATAGTTTTTTCATAATGATGAATTTGAATTGGCTTTATTAGAACAAGGTGGTTGTCCATTCTGTCGTAATAAGAAAGATACGGAGATAACAGGTGAATATATTTTATTAATAATATTTTGTATGAAATATGTCCTTTAAGAATTTATTATTTATTATTTAAAAATTTTTACTGAATTAATAGAAAGTAATCTAAACCGTATTGAATAAACATTTTAAAGTCTCTATATATATAATGATTTCCTATTTTTCCATTCATTGAGAATCCTAAATAGACAAGAATCGATCTTGCGAGTTACTATAGAGATTTATTAGAGGTGTAACTCAGTCCTCTAACCATATTCATAATAGAGGAAACCCAAGTCTAGCGCTTGTCGAGTTCAAAATCTTCGGATCCGAATCCAGTCAAACTGATCGCAATGAAATTTTCTAATCGGAATTAGATAGTCGCTTCGCAGATACAAGATACTCTTTTCTGTTTTCGATGACTAGTATATCCTACATATTTCTCAGATGACTAGAACGAGTGACGAACATTTCGAACTCCTGTCACGTGTCCGGAAATGATTTTTGTCCTGGATAACGTTCATTACGAACACCATGTGTTTTTATTCCTGATTGATTTTTGCATTTCGGACTTCCGTACACATAATTACGGACACCCTGTCTTTTTTTCCTTATGTTCAGAGATGGTAACGAACTTCGCCGCCGGGAGATCGTAATGAAAAGTTAGTGTGGAATGTTCTTTTTCCGACTAGAGCTCCTTTTAAGCAGAACTCAACTATTTCTTAATCTCCGTCTGCTTACGTCACTAAGATATAAACTACAGAGAGACTTCCTACCCATCATAGACATTATTTATGTTTTTAATTTTGTTGTGTTTTTCTTATTTAGAAAACAATGACGATTATTGATCAATAATAACACACATTCACTCATTTACTTTTTTTGGTTTTGTTAAATATTTGGTAATAAAATATGCATGGATTTATACATTTCGAAAAAAAAAATCATTTGAATAAATAAATTGTGTGTTTTTTTTTATAGTCAAATATCATAATGCATATAAAGAACAAACAGATCAATCATTCATTAAGGTTTTTTCAATATTGAGCAGAAAAAGAAATAGAACTAGAAGAAAAAAATGAAGGGCCTGGCTATAAACAGTAGAAACCATGCTTTACTCAACAGATATATGTCTGTTAAATAAAACATAATCGAAAATATACATAGAAATACCGAAGAATAAATTTTTTCATTCGTTATTTTAATTAACGTAATGTTGATGCAATAATGTCTTTTTGATCTTTTGTAAGTGTATCGGGAAATTTAATATCGAATTTAACAACAATATCACCACGAGTTGTAGGTTGTTTTGTATTGGGTAGACCATCACCGGCAAGTCGTTTTTCAGTTGTTGGTTTAATAACTTCATTCAATTGCAGTTTCCGCACACGATTTGGTTCAAGTGTAGGAACATTGATTGTCGTGCCACATAAAGCCTTGAATAGAAAAAAAAAACAACAAATTTTATTGAGCTATTGTCAAAAAACTAAAGTGCACAAAGAATTAAAATTATAGATAAATTCTTTCAGTGAGATTTTTTTTATTTTTGTCAGATATTGTTAACGGAATTTTTCTTTGTGAAAGAAAACTCTGGGTTTTCTATTATGTCTCACTAAATAGTTAAGAGAAGTATACTATTATATCTAGTGTATCGTTCGTCCAAGGGAAGGAAGAAGACTCTTTTATTGTAGGAAGGGATCTAAACGAACGTGAATAGAAAGATAAACATTCGCATAGCATTTATGCGATATTTATATTTACCTAGAGTTAGATAAAGATGTACTTTTTGAATCAAATGAAAACAAACAAGTGAATAGTTTATTCAGTAAAAAAAAACAGAGAATTTATACAATAAAAAGAAAAAAGGAAAATTGAAAATGGTCTTCTTCTTTATTAGAAGATGTATATGAAAAAAAAATGTCCTTAAATTAATAGAGAAAAGAGAAAATTGAGTAGTTATATATGTATAACGATTAAGAAATAATCCTCACTCGTTCACATTAGGTGACATTTAGCAGATAAATATAATAAGATGATAATTTATTATATTAAAAAATGTTAGACTCCATTGTGTCCGAGTCCAAAAATTTTTGGACCCCGATGAACTCAACTTCATGAAGAACACCATTAACAGATATTTTTAAAAAAAATGAAACAAAACTTTGATAAAGAAATGACCGCCCACTAAAACTTTTTGACACAACTAGTGAAACTCATTGATTAATCGTAAATTAGATGAATGTCTCAGCATTATTCGATATTTTCATCGAAGAACATCAATAGTATTCGAAACATATTGATTAGATTCATAAAACAGATAATACAAATGCATAAATTCTTCTTCTTGAAATCCTTGATTTTGTAATGTAATTAACTGATTTTTTTATGCAAGATTTCTTCGCTAAATTAATATAAAAATATTCGACAAAAGTAAACCCTATAGAGCACTAAAGCGAAAAAAAATTTCTTATTATCTGATAAAAAAAGAATTTTTCTTCCAGCATGTGTCTGATGGAAGAGAAACAGAAATCTACTTTTATTCCATTACTTAACTATCAGATATTATAATCTTTTTATATATTTGGATTAGATAATCTTACAACTAATTTGTTTCTTTTTCTCCCTTTGGTGTAACTTACCTCTTTAAGACTGATTTTAGCTGTATAAATAATATCACTACCATCTCGACGAAATGTTGGATGAGGTTTATCTTTGATTATAAATACAATATCAGCTGGTATTGTTGCTGGACTTTGATCACCTTCACGTGGAAATGTTATTTTAGTTCCTTGTTTCCAACCAGGTTTTATATCAATTGTTAATACTTTATCTTCTATACGTGTTGTACGACTATCAGGATTTAAAATTCGTCTTGATATTTTCATTTTTTTTGTTGCACCTGATGCAATTTCTTCAAGTGTTACATTTAATTCATGTTCAATTGGAGGATCTTGAGTTTTTTTTCTTGTTGCTTGAGTTCGTGGAGCACCAAAATGAAAACCTCCCATATTAGGAAATCCACCAACTCCACCACCTGGTCCATCATCATCATCACCAGCATCACCACCGAAGAACATTGCAAATGGATCGGCACCACCCTAAAATTATTTTAAAAATAAAAAATTTTTTTTTTTCTAAAAGAACAAATATTAAATATTTCGATTCTTACAAAGAACATTCGAAATGTTTGATGAGGATCAACATTTGAATAAAAGAATTGTTGACCACCAGGACCACCACCACCACCACCGCCACCACCTGCTTTTAAACCTAAGAAAAGAATTAATTTAAAATATTTTTTGAAATCTTTATTCTTTTTGTTTTAATGTATTTACCTTCTTCACCATATTTATCGTATATTTCTTTTTTCTTTGGATCAGATAATACTTCATAAGCTTCAGCTACTTCTTTAAATTTTTCTTCGGCACCTGCTTCTTTATTTTTATCTGGATGATATTTTAGTGCACTAAAATTTATTGAAATGAAATACAAAAAACGTTTAATTTTTAAATATAACTTACAGTTTTCGATAAGCTTTTTTTATTTCATCATCAGAGGCACCTTTGCTAATACCTGATATTAAAAGCAAAAAAAAAAGAAGAATCCAATAAGTAACAATTATAAAAAATAAATATTTCCTACCTAATATTTTATAATAATCTTTGCCCATGATATTATATATAAATTACAAAAAAACAAAAAATAAAAATAAAAATTTCTAAAACAAATAAAATCATATATTCATTTTTTTCTTAGAATACTTTTCAAATTTATTATCAATTTATTTCTCTAGTTTATAACCCTTTAGACTCTATATTACTTATTACATGTAGATTACGGTGACATATATATATATATATATATATATGAAATCAGTACATACATTCTCCTATGACTCGACTTCTATTCCCTTTCATAATATATTCTATTCCTGTTCTTTCACAACTCCATTCAAGAAAGTACTCGAATCATCGAGAAGCTTCGCTACAACAACAGAACACATAAATGATCAATATATGATGACAGAAAAGAAAAAAAAATAAAATAAAATCCAAGATTTGTAGTATATAACTTCCAATGAAAAATATGTCGCTAGAAGTATAGTTTTTATTTTTGTTTTATTCTCTAAGTTGTAATCACCATGGATCATATTGAATAAATGGTAAACATTAATTTAGTTTAATCAAAAATATAATATGCCACCAAAAGCAGGTACAAAAAAAAGTGCAAAATCTGAAGATGATTCAAAGAAAAAAGATACAAAAGCTTCAAAAAAAGGTGCTGAAGAAACAAGTGGAACTACATTAGGTAATATTGATATTGGTTCAGTATCAAATGATAATACTTCAACATCAAAAGTAGCAACAAGTAATTTAGCTCGTGGACCATCTCAATCAGGTACACCATTAGATGAACATATTAATAAAGATCCAGGTGTATCAACATCAGAACTTAGTCAAAATACAGATGGAAATCGTGAAAGTGGTGAAACTGGATTAAATGCTGGAGAAAGTAGTAGTGGTACAGTTCTATCAGATGCTGATATTAAATATGAAGAACCTATTTTACCTAATCTTATTGTACTAAGGTTTATAAAAAATTTAAAAAAAAAACTCAATATCGTTCTGTTTTGTTTTTCTTTTTCTTTTTCAAAATATAGTTATGAAGGTGGTAAAGAAAAAGGTTTATATGAAGGATATGGTAAAGCTACATATGTTGGTAGTCATAGTTACACTGTAAGAACAATTAATAAATTTATATTATTTTTATTAATTATTTTATAGGGTGATTGGAGTGGTGGTATGATGAATGGACAAGGACGATATGAATGGGCTGATGGTGTAGTTTATTCAGGTACAATTGTGAATAATCAATTAGATGGTGTTGGAACATATCAATGGCCGGATGGAAGGTAAAAAGAAAAATAAATCAATTACTCAGGATCAAAGAATCTGACTATAAGGTCTTGTATGTTCCTAGACGATCATATCAAAACTTACATTATGAGCTTCTACAAGCGTATAAGATCTTAAAGCTTCCATTTCTTATAAAATCGTATAGTACGATCCTCGTATGATCTTATTGTAAGATTCATCTAAGCTTTTATGAAGTCTTCAAATGCATTTTACAGTTGAATTTCTTGCTCTATTTCCTCTCATCGCTGTCTCCACTAGTTCATCACCGTTTTTTCCTTTTATTCAATGCTTCTTCAGGAAAATCAAGGAAACTATTCGCTTGCTTGAATTAATACTTACTCTTGACCATGTTATTAATTTCAATCTAAATTAAAAAAAAAATTTATTTATTTAATAAAATTTCTATCTACTTTCTGATGATATTTTTCAAATTTATCTAAACAAAAAATATAATAATAATAATTAGATAGTAGAATTTTGACGATATTGTTGAGATTAATCTAAATAAAAAGAAAATTTGTTCATTTATATAAATATCATACTTACCCTCGAGCAGTATCTTATAGTAAGAAACATGTTCAATCTTACACTAAGATATTTGCATGCTTTCATAAGATCATACAGTATGAATCTTACGATATCGGATTATAAATAAGATCTTATACGATCTTCGTATGATTTTTCTACCTGAATATATTCGAATAATCTATTTGTTTATCTTTAGTGTATATCAAGGTGATGTATATCGAGGTCGTCGACATGGTACAGGAATATTTCGACATGGTAAAAGTCCATTAACCTATGAAGGTGATTGGCATATGGGGAATATGCATGGAAAAGTATGTTAATATATAACATTCATATCTTTTCTATATAAAGATTTGTTTTCTTTTTCGTTGTATATTAGGGTACATTACAATTTGGACGTGAAGGACAAAATTATTATACAGGCGATTTTATTCTTAATATTCCATTTGGAAAAGGTCGTCGACAATATTCATCAGGAAATTTATATGAAGGAATGTGGATAAATGGTAAACGACATGGATATGGAGTATTTTCATGGAGTAATGGAAATGGAGAATATATGGGACAATGGGAAAATGGTGTACAGGTTTGTTTAATTTTTATCTTAAATTAATTAAAGATAATTAATTATTTTAAATATAGAATGGACATGGGATTCATATTTGGTATATTATTAGAGCTGAAGAATCTCAATATGCATTAAGAAATTATTATGAAGGAAATTTTGTTGATGGACGTCGACATGGACAGGGAACATTCTATTATTCAAGTGGAACAAAATATATAGGCGAATGGAAAGCAGATCAGAAACATGGAAAAGTAAGTACTGAATAGACTAGACCCGAGCACGACCGGTCGTTTTTAATCCTGATCTAACGAAAAAAAATTATTCCGATCCCAGTCTGCCGCGATTGGGACCATCTTGCCCATGTTTATTTAAAATACATAAGTCTTGTCAATATGACTGTAACCTTTTTTTTTTTGTGAACGTGAGTTCAATCTTTATTTTAATAATAAAAGAATCAAAGAATCAAGAAGAAGAGAATAACCATAATTTCATTTCGTTGAAATTATGAAAATCATATATTCAGATTCTTCGTGAAAAACTACACCGATTACACCTATTTTTGATATTCCTTAGTATAAACATGCTTATAAAATGTATGAAGGCTGAAATTGTAAAAAAAAAACGTTCAAAAATTGATATATCATAGATTTTTTTGCATTTCTAGATATAACTGAGTTTTATATACCATTAGAACGAGTAGAGACTGTGCTTGAAAAGTATAGCCTTAGTTTTTCTAAAATATTGATATATTGAAGAAGAACACCGTTCAACTCTGGCTGAGGATGCTAAAAACATTAAATTTTGACAGTAATTACAGATTTTCCTTGTCAAAACTTGATCATTTTCCGATAAAAGTGGTAGATTCAGAATCATCATGAAAAACTGTATTGAATAGAATAATTTCCTTTCACTTCGGGAAACTTCGAGTTTTTGACCCTAAGAGAAAAAAGACCTAGATTTTCATGAAAAAATGAAAATCAAGAAAACACTTTAAAATATATCTTAGTCGACGTAGTTTTTCATGCTAATTCCTAATCTACCATCTTTATCGAAAAATGACCGAGTTTCGACAAAGGAAACCTTGAATTACTGACAAAATTTCATGTTTTTGGCATTCTCAACCAGACTTGAACGATGTTCTTCTTCAATATATCAATATTTTAGAAAAACTAAAGCTATACTTTTCCAGCACACTCTCTACTAGTTCTAATGGTATATAAAACTCAGTTATATCTTGAGATGCAAAAAAGTCTACAATATACCAATTTTTGAACGTTTTTTTTTTTATCCTTTCAGTCTCCGCACATTTTATAAGCATATTTATACTAAGGAATATCAAAAATAAGTCCAATTGATGCAATTTTTCACGAAGAATCTGAATATGTTATTTTCATAATTCCAACGAAATGACAATTTTTTTATATTGAAAAAAACTCGTTTTTTTAACCAAAAGTCTTAATAGAAAATATTAAAACAGATATATTCTTGTTCAGCTCGACAAACTCTATCCAAGTATGTGTAAAAAACGAAAACAAAAACTTTGCATTATTTACTCTTTATGTAATGATAACGTATTACACAATACGCAATAGAAATTTTATTACGTACTAAGAACAGAAAAGACCAAGGTCAATATCAATGTTTATTTGATTCTAAAAGAACAGAAACGAATATAGAATAGTTTGATGAAAGGAAACGAAAGAGCGAATAATTTCCAATCATTCAAAAAGAATATAATTCGTAAGAAACAATCAATCCTTAACAATGATATTCTGAACAAGTTTTTATTCGATCATAAAAGATATCGCTCGCAATGAAAAAGCGTTGATTTCAGTTCCACCGCGATCAGGATCATCTTGCCTATATCTAGAATAGATATTAAAAAAAAAAACAAAATAAATCAATTGAAATTTTCTTTAGGGTAAAGTTATATTAAGAAATGGTACAGTAATTGAAGCTGATTTTTTAAATGATCGTATAATAACACCTTTAACAAGTGATATGACTTCAATGTTAGAAATTGAATTACCTGAAATAGTATCTAAAACACCAATACCATCTGGTAAATAAAAAACAAAAAAGAATATATATCTTTTTTAGTCAAAATTGTTTTTTATTTGTTTTTAATTAGCATCTAACACACTTGATCCAATGAATTTAACACGAAGTGAAAGTCGAAATACAATTACTCCTAATTTTAAATTACAATTTGATGGTGCTTTACATCATATTTCAAGTAGAGATGATGAAAAAAAGAAAATTACCGATCAGGTTTATAAAAAAAAAACAAAAAAAAAAAAAACAAATTTATTCTTTTTTAAAAACGCATTTTTGTTTTTTTCTTTTAATCTTTATTAAATAGGTTTTTCATGTTTTATTTCGTCATCTTCCACAATTAAAACAAATCTATCGTATTTATGCTCGATTAGGTATTGATTTACAAACTAATATTGATAATACATTTTTAATGACACGTATACAATTTTGGCGTTTTATTCTTGATTGTAATTTACATAGTTATGGTATTACACCAATGGAATATGATCGATTGATTGGTAAAAAACAAAACAAAACAAAATTCGATATAAAATTTCTTTATTTTTAATTTTTTAAAAAAAATTCTTCTAGCCGAATGTTTACCAACAGAAAATATTCATG